TCTTTCGAACCCAACAGATCTGCTGGGTTCCATCGAACCCACCCAGTAGATCTCTGAGTTCGACCTCTATATTCTGGTAAGAAAGTCTCCAATCATAAGCAGTCATATGCAAATTTTTTTCCCTCATAACCAATTTTTGCCAAATTCTCAATCAGAACAGACCACACAAACAAAATATTCATTAGCAAAGTAATCAGTTGCAACCCAAAAATATCCTTAAAATTCAAGCTTCTAAACATAAATATTTAAAAAAAAAAAAATTGAACCCAGCAAAATCGTTGGGTTCTCGAGAACCCAGCAAATCACTGGGTTCGATTAATCGAACCCAGCAGATCTGCTAGGTTTCGAAGAGGAGATGAGAGATGATGAAAGGAAAGAGATGATGAGGAGATGAGAAAAGGAGAGGATTAAAACCCAAGCCGACAAACAATGACCCCAGGGGAAGAAGATGAACAACAAAGAGGTTGGAGATGAAAAGTAAGGGGTAACGAAAGGAGGAAGAAAAGAAAATGATGTGTGGTTGAAGAGGAGGGTAAAAACATAATTTTATCTTTATAATTTAACCTTTAATAATTTTATTTTTATAATTTATCTCATTGTCAGTCCTACGTGTCAAGATATTTCACCTGTCATCTTTTTCCCATCAAGTAACAATCCACGTAAGTTGATTTTTAACGGAAGGACCAAGTTGGAGTTAAAATGGTAAACAGTAGGGACCAAAGCAAGAATTTTTTCAGTTCAGGGACCAAATCAGGGGTCTGTACAATAGTTGAGGGACCCAAATGAGGTTTTAACTTTAAATTTATTAGTAAAAAAGTATTATCTTATGTATCAGATTCACAATTTAAATATTAATGTTAGCACCAAAGGAAATTAATTTCTTTAAATATATTAAATTGATATCGTGGGGTGTGCCGTAATTAAAAACATTTAGGAGGAATTGGGGATATCTAGTACAAGGATTTGAAACTAACACTTAACTGTTTCATGTAATTCAATGAATAAAATATTTAAATTATTAATAATAACAATTATCAACTATCAAATTAGACAAAACCACTAATTGTTATTTACAAACAATTACATCAAACGGGTCTCTTAGTTTCAAAATGTGTAAAAATAATGTAAAGACATAACCATAAATAAATATATGAATATATATATATATATATATATATATATATAAAGTCCGTGACCATCAAGTGCTTTGAATGAATGGGGTCGTTTCTCAAGAATATCCAATCAAAATGAACAAGACTACACTAAGAACGGTAATTTTTGTCTCAACGACAGATCGAATGTTTATGTTGGTGAATATGAAAATCAACACAAGGCTCAAAAGATAAGTCATGTGGTTGAGAAAAGATGGAGGCTTCAATGTTTAATTTTGCATAATTTGACTTTTTTTCATTTTTTGGTGATGCCAACGCTCTAGTTATAGAAGAGGCATTAAAAAAAAAAAAATTAGAGGAGAGGAGACATTATTAATTACTTGTTATAACATTTTTGTCCGTATATATTATTTTCGCTTTAATAATTACTCGGCTTGCATATTTGCTCGGTGATGTTTTGCCAACAATTGAACATGAGTGGTCAAATTTCAAC